CCGCACCCCCTCGCAGATGATTGCGTCCTCGCTGCTGGTCCACATTGTGCGTGTGTGGTCGGAGCGCCGGCCATCGGCAGTGGGATCGAGGGGATCCGGAGGGGGCGCCCAATTCTTGTCGATGCCGCATGCTGCGAGAAGCTCGTCCAAATTCCGCCGCCCCTCAATCGAATCGCCGAGGCTGTGTCTGCGCTGAAGCCGGTGCCATCGGTTGCGCACTCCGTCGGCTGTGCGGCCCGGCAACTGGAGGGCAATCCTGCCCCACTGCGTTCCAACGCAGCGGAAGGTGGCGAGGATAATGACGTCCTCTTCGGAGCGCCACTCCGCCTTGCGCGCGCTCGTTCCCTGGCCTTCGCCCATCCCCAGCAGCGAGAACTTTTGCTTCTGTGGGGATGACGCGGGGTCGCGGGTGGCAGCGCCAGAGGAGGGCGGTGTCCTGGGGGCGTCGTCGCAGGGTGAGTCGGGCTGCATGAGCTCATGCAGCTGCTCAAAGTCGGCCGCGCCGATGTGGATCTGCCCCAGCGGGTCGAGCACTCGCATGTTGGGCCGCGGCAGTTGTTGGCCCGTCATGATGAGGCCGTCCGTCCCCGCCCTCTGGGTGCGCAACGACGATTCCTGTTGATTATCCGCCGCATTGAATTGGGATGCATTTTACGGGGTACGGCAAACAGGGACAGGTGAACGTGCTTGAGCACTTGAGCACCGGATAGGGTCGATTCCGCATGGTACGGGACCCCCTCACCTCCATCGGTCTATGCGTCGCAGAGCTGTCACATGCCAAGTTTAGTTACAGTGGGTTGCGGGCATTCCGCATTCGCCATTATCTCGCCACCTTTGTGGCGTTTGTTTGGGAGTTGGGTACTGGGTAGCAGCGCGGCCCCCCGGCCCCCCAGGACCCCACTATGCACTATAAGGGCCCCCTCCAGGGCTCGCACCTCAACCTCTCACAGACCAGCGCATAGGGCATAGCGCCATAGGACGTATTTTCTTCTCATGGTCTGAGGGTATCCTAAAAGTTCGGCCGATTTGGGTCAAAACGCTAAAAGCACGGCTAGCCGCAGATTTGGGGCAAAACGACAAAAGACAAAAGTGGGCCCGCCCGGGGCAAAATGGTAAAAGTCGCGCCGCCGCAGGCGCGCGAAAATTTTGGACATTCTACTCTCCGGCGAATGGGACCGAATGCCACTAGCCCCCCCAAGCCGGCAGATGGTCGGCAGCTGCAACCAAGCCAGCGGGTGAAAAGTGTTGTGGGAGGATGCGTCCTTATGTGTCACAAACTTGTAGCGCTACATGTTTGGACACACACCGGCGGGCGCTTTCGAGGCGAGCGGCAGCATTTTTTTAGCCATAGTTTAGCCATAGTGTTGCGGGAACTACTTTGCCGTTTGCGGGACGATAGCTAGGTACTTGCTGCACCCGGCGCGCAGCGCCGAAGAAATTTTTGAAAAATGCTAAAAGTTGGGCGCTCCGTCCTCCGCGAGACGACCAAAGTGGTAAAAAGTCGCACTCTCCCCTGAAGCTGAACCCGATCAAAAGCGTAAACGAAGCACCCGACGGCGACGCCGAGGCTCCAGAAACCTAACCCTCAGACTTATGTTCTTCTCATAAGTCATAACAAAGGCTGTGTCTCAGGCTGTGAACCGAGAGCCGAGAGATCAAAACGGGACGGCCAAGAGGCCATAAGTGCCCCGCATGTGCGGCGCGAGGAGCAAAAGGATACGGCGGCTCCCTCTCTACGTATACACTCACACACGACCCCACTACGCACTAGTCTTAACATGAGAGAGAGACTCGCCGAGTCCCGAGAGCGCGAGAGGCGCGCTCAACCAACAGCGCCGTCATCAAAAATCGAATCTCGATGCCTGGAGCGGACACCGAATCGCAGTGTAGAGAGACTACCCTCTACCGATCCGCACTCGCCCGCCCTGTCACGCGCCGTCGCCGGCGTCACGTCACCTGGAAGGCGACGATCTCCCCCGAGGCGTAGCCCACCGCGACGGTGTCCTCGGCCAGCCACAGCAGCGCGCATGGCTCGGCCGCCTCGCCGGACGGGTGGGTCGCGTCCTGCCGCACAAAGGTGTACAGCTGCGGCTTCATCAGCTGTGGCTGGGTGGGGTTGCCCTGCCCGCCCTTGCGCAGCGGCAGGCTGCGAGGCTGCCACACGCGCACCAGGCCCTGCGGGTCCACGGTCGCCAGCCGCGCGGGAGGCGTCGCAGGGTCGGGTGGCCACTCGTCGGTGGGCGGTGGAGCGACCTCGCCTGAGTCGGCACCGCGAGACGCTCAGCCCGACGCCACCGTGTGGACGTGCGTGCGTGCGTGCGTGCGTGCGTGCGTGCGTGCGTGCGTGCGTGCGTGCGTGCGTGCGCGCGTGCGTGCGTGCGTGCGTGCGTGCGTGCGTGCGTGCGTGCGTGCGTGCGCGCGCGCGTGCGTGTGTGCGTGCGTGTGTGCGTGTGTGTGCGTGCGTGCGTGCGCGTGCGTGCGGAGGTGTGTGCGGAGGGGGGAGGTGGAGGGAGGGGTGAGGCGGGGGGCGGCCGCACCGCCCGCCCACGCGACCGCCGCCGCCCGGTGGCCGATGCACACCCGCGGGACAGAGTCGGGCTTGCCGGCCGCCGGCCGCCACGGCTGCGAGCGGTACGGGTGCGGCGGCTGAGCGCCCGTGAAGTCAAAGACGACCGCCTGGCTGCCGCTTGCGGCGAGCCCTCCGCCGTCGGCGCTCCACTGCACGTCCTTGCCGTCGGTGCCGCAGTAGCCGCGCAGCGTGAGCGGGCTGGTCACGGGGGAGAGGCCCCACAGCTTGAGCGTGCCGTCGTACTCCGCCGCCGCGAGCCACTGCCCGCTGCTCGCCAGCGAGCGCACGACGCTGCCGATCTGCAGCTCATGCACCGTCGCCCCGGCGCGAGAGACGAGCCGCACACACCCCTTGACCGCCAAGGCGTACGCCCAGTGGAGCGGCTCTCCGCGCGGCGCGGCGCAGAGGGCGTGGACGGGCGAGGCGAGCTCGCAGACGTGCTCGAGCGTGCCGTCGGAGAGGCGGTAGCAGTGCGCGACCCGGCCCGCGGCGGCGACAAACGAGGCGGAGAACTCAAAGGCGCCGTCCCCGAGCACCGCCAGGCGGGAGACGGGGTGGCATCGCGGCCGCTTGCCCGCCTCGGGCTCCTCTCGCACGGCGTGCGATCGGACTACCGACCGGCTCGCCACACTCACCACGCGTGCGATCCCGTCCTCGCCTGCCAGCAGCAGGGTCTCGCCGCCGGCCGCCCACGCGACCGCATTCGGCGGGTCCTCGTGCAGCTCCTCGGTCGCGCCGAGCAACGACAGGTCCGAGCCGTCCACAAAGGTGACCGAGCCGCCGATGGTGGCGGCGGCGAGCAGGCCTCGCGGCGAGCGGCTCACGAGCTCGAGCGCTTCGGTCAGCTTTGCGGTGAAGCGAACCTGAAGGCCGCCTCGCGTGGTGGTTGGCTTCGGAGGCGGCTCCTCCGCCGCCGAGCTCCTGCCCTCGAAGGCGCGCTTCACGGCGAGCATGGCTGCTGGGATGCTGTCGCAGTGGTAGGGGGTGGCCTCCGCCGCGCAAAAACCGCGCAAAAAGCCTGCTGCACGAAGCGATCGTAGACCGGGGAGAGCTATAAAAAACGCACGGGCTGTCAGCGGAGCTGGGAAGAGGACCGCCGCAAGCGGCGTGGCGTGGAGCGGTTGAGCATCCCTCCGGGGGCCCCTCTGCGCCGGGGAGGCGTTGTTGGAGGCTAGGACGCAAGCGTCCGTCGCCCTTTTCAAACTCGGGGCCCCCTCCACCCGAATTTGGAGGGCCTAAAGGTTTAAGGTGTTGCTGCGCCGGGCCGAGATCGGGCCGAGATCCATCGGCTCCACGACCCGCCACAGAGAGCGAGACACGGGGGGCGAGAGACAGAGGCGGGTACACTCACAGAGGCGGGTACACCCCCCCCCCCCCACACACACACCACACACACACACACAGACCGCCACCTGCGCCGACTGCGCCGCCCCTCCCGCCTTTCCGCCGCAGGCCGTCCTCGCTCCGCTGTCGAGCTCGCAGAGGCACTGGCGGGCTGGAACAGCCTGACGGCGGGCCTCTCCCTCGACCGCAGCGGCAAGCCGACCGAGGGCGGCGACGAGGCGGGCGGCGACGGCGAGGAGTCAGGCGGCCTCGAGCACGGCGGCTTCGAGTCCTTGCACGACGCGGCACGGCCCCGAAGCGTCTCGTCGCGCATCCCGTCCGTGCGGCAGCACACAAAGACGGTGCAGCGGCTATTTATTCGAGAATTGTGATCCCAAAAAATGGAAAAAGAGAAGAGCTCAGACGAAGGTGAGGGCACACCGGCCAACGCACACCAGCTCGTGTGCGCGCAGGCGCGTCCACGGTCCAGGTCCGCAGGTGCGTGGGCCACACATGGCCCACAGGCGGCCGCGGGGGACCCCACAACACGTCAGACGGAGAGAGTATATGCGTCTGGTAAGGCGTAGCGTTCGCGCGCAGAACTGGAAGCAATCGCACGATGAAGCGTCGAATGTGTGAGCACGCGGTACTTTCAGTCAACAGGCACCTCGGGCCATGGGGCGCCGATCGTGAAGTACTTCTTTGCAAACTCGACGTCCATCCCGGCACTGATTCCGAGGTCGACGTGGCCAGTCGCAAGGTGCAAACACGGCATGATTTCATGGTAGGGAAAGGGCGGCCCTTGGTGACCATATCCGTCAAAGTCGTGATAGTTGACGAGTCCCTCCTTCTCTGGCAGAGCCTCTGTTTCATAGCAGATGGTACCGTTCTCTACAATGCAAATGCCAAGCTGATCGAGTCCCGAGAAGTGGAACATGCGGAAGGAGGAAAGGTCTCGGCGCCTCGTCGCGAAAATGGAGAGCATCATCGAGTACAAGCCCTTTCCGTCCTCCCGCTGCTCCCATGGCGTGTCCAGATCTGCCAAGGCCTCCGTCAGCCAAGCCGGCCGCGTTGCGTCGGTCCAGGGCTGAGGGTTGCAGATCCGGTCCCAGCCCTCTGTGAAGCTGGTGACAGGCGCGCTCCACGCTGCGCTCCAGTCGAGGGCGGGCACTGCGAGCTCGACGGAGAAGACGTACGCAGGTAGGTCCGGGAAGCTGGGCGGCGGCTCTGGTGAAACAGCGGCAAGTTGCTTTCGGTATATCGACTTGAAAGATAGTGACGTTGGCACGAGCTCCAGCAAGCTCTTGAGGCAAGGGAACCTCGCCAACGCGAACTCCCGCCACATTTCGTCGCCGGCTGCGATGATCGGTGCTCGAAGCTGTTGGCTCGTCTGCGCCATGGCGCACAGCACTGACGCGCCGCCGCGGCGGGCGATGTGCGCGAGCAGATCTGCTTCGAGGTCGAGGAGGGCGACCATGGCGCTTCGTTTGGCAGGGTTCGGGCTCCAAGGCAGGGTTCGGGCTCCGCGTGAGGGTGCCATGGCGCGTGAAGTTGTTGCGCAAGCGGAGAAACGGCAGCCGGTGCTGCTTGCGTGAGCGACTTACTAAAAGGAGGGCGCCTGGGTCTAAATTTAGTGCGGTGTGAAGTGTTTATCTACTGCATCTTTAGCGCAACTTTAGCGCAACTTTAGTGCAAATTTAGCGCGAGTTCACTGCGACTTTACATCCAGATTTAGCGAGGTTTAGTGCGTCTTTAGTCCAGCCGCGCAGTAGGATCCAGCCGCAGACCCTCGCTGGGCCTCCATCCCCCTCTCCCCCTGCAGTTCCCTGCCCACTCGCAAAAGTTCCCCGTCCCATCCCCAACCAACCGAACCTGGGCACCAACCCTTGGGTCCAGATGACGATCCCTCTACAAACGAGGGAAGAGGGACGCCTCACGAGACTACAGAGGGCCTCGACCAGGACACTTGCACGGTCAGACCACTCCAATCACTACCACAAGGAGAAGGAGCTCACAGATGAGCAGCTCGCGGCAAAGGCCGCGGCACGCAAGGCCAAGAAGACCAGGCAGAGGGAGCGCCGGGCGAAGGAGGCCGAGCGCGCCGCGAGCGAGGCCGAGCGCGCGGAGCGCCCACGCGCGCAGCTACGCGCGAACATCGAGTACGTGATGGAAGGACTACGGTCTGCAGCTGCGCGGGCGCGCAGCCAGGCGGGGTCCAAGACTCGGGTCACCTACTCGCTGCCTCCGGAGAGGGACGACGGATATCGGCGCGGCCCCAGCGTGATGTGCGCCACGGCCCCCCAGGCACCGTGGCGACGACCGTCGCGCAGGACTGGCTCGCAAACGAGCTGGCCGAGTACGGAGAGATTGATGCGGCATGCCGCGACAGGTTTGTCATGCACCTGATGACGGCCGCCGGCGCCTCGGCGCTGGCCGACGCCGTGTTCGGGTTCAAGGCTGGCGAGACGATGCAGACCTCTCGCCCGACCTCCGCGTCGGGCGAGGACGACGACGAGGACACCGGCTCCGAGGAGTATTCCGACGACAGGGCGTCCGACTACAAGCTGGCTTCACCCATATCTTACCCCTTCTGCCCCCCCCTCCTCCGACCCCCCAGGGCTAGAAGGGGAGCTAGAGAGAGCGACACCCTGTCGCAAAATGCCTCCTGCAAGAAAAATGAGCACTTGAGCACTGGATAGGGTCGATTCCGCAAGGTACGGGACCCCTCGATCGTCTCGCCCTCCCTCACTCACTGGTGTGTTCCTTGGGGGGGGTCCTAACAAACACGGTACAGGATCGAGGTGCACGCTGCTGAGGGACCCCAGAGGGTAGATCGAGCAGTGTCGTCCCCCCTCTCCATCATCTCCCTGGGAGACGTCGGCGGCGATGGCGGTGTGACCGATCGAGCTACAAGAGGAGCTTGTTCAGCAGGATCAGGGTGGGCGGAGCAGTACCTCACTTCCTCAATGGGTCGACTCAATGGGTGAGCTTCAGAACCCCAGCAGTCTCGGACCCATCACCCATCGGCCCGTGTGGATTCGAACCACCGCCGGGATGGAAGCTTCCTGCTTCCATCTGATTAGTTGTCCATTCTTCTCCCTGGTGCAAGAGCGGAGAGGGCTCGGACGGCACGCGTGACGGGGGAGGGCAGAGAGGATGCGGGGCGGGGGGGGGGGGAGGGGGGGGGGGGGGGGGGCTCCCCCCTGCAAAAAGCATCAAAAAAATTTTGAAAAACCCCCGGAAGGGGGGGGGGGGAACCCTGTGTTTTTTTGAAGGAGGAAGTTTCTTCCGGAAGGAAGTTTTCCCTGCCCTTTAGAAGGGGGTCCCCCCCCCCAACCGCTTACTAGGAACCCCTCGCCTTATTGTTTGGCCCCCCCAGGCCACACACAGACCTCTAGACCGGTCACTGGGGCCGACAATTAGGGTTCAAACACGCCCGGGAGACAGCCCAAACACAGTTACTTCATAGTTACTTCTGCGGCATTCTGGCGCACATGTCGGCCGAGCGCGCGCCCCCTGCTGCCGGCAAACGGTCTCCTGAGAGCCCTCCTACACCCTTGCCACCCCCCCAGCCCAAGACATCATCGAGGCCTGGAATGCGCGCGCCGTCAGGCTGCTCGTCGTCGTCGGGCTCACCCGCAGCAGCAGGTGCAGCCGCCGCAGGAGCCTCCGCAGGCGAAGGCGCAGCGGCTGGGGCGGCTCTGCCGCCGCGCCGATGCGGCGGGAGGAGCTCGACACCGAGCTGGGGGCCGACCCGCACGAGGTCATCATCGGCGGTTCCATACTCCGCTTGCACGACCGGCGGCGGCAACGTGCTTGGGCCAGCTGCACCTGGGGCCGGCGCCCACTGCAGCCTTGTGGAAGCTGCTGCTGCGAGTAGTGCCGCCGCTGGGCCCGGCGCCGCCGCGGCGGCAGCGGGCGTCTTTCCCTTTGCACGCTTTGGGGCCATCTGACGCTCGACCCGACCCGGTCACGGTCGCAGTCAAAGCTGTCACGGGTCAGCGAGTCAACGACATGGTGACGACACGATCGAAGGCGAAGCATGAAGCCCCGCAAGGCGCTGCCGCGCCTCAAGGCGCGCCTCTGCCGCACGCGCTCACATCATGCACCGCGCGCCGCGAGCCGGGACGTGCCGTCCGTTTCAGTCCATCGCGCCATCGCCCGCCGACAACAGTTTGAGCATGATTATCTCCGGCAGTGCTCCGTTTCTTTTTTCACGCCTTCACGCGGTGCAGGCGCCCCCGACTGTACTGAGCGCACCCCCCACCGTCCCCTGCCAGGCCCAAGCATGCCGCAGGCTCCGGTGAGGCCGCCTGGGGAGCGCAGGAGGTCCCTTCGCCTCCGCGACCAAGTGCACGATACGCCCGGCGTACACAAGTCCTAAGAACAAGCCCCGGCGGGCGCGGTGGAGCTCCTACACCGACTCCGACGGTGACCACCGCTCCTCAGAGGAGTATTAGGGAGCGGGTCCGCTCCAGTCCAGGTCTGCCCTGTGTCTAGGGAGCTGTGGGCGGGGGCTAGGGGCCATTGCAGGCGCGGGGCGGGGATAGTTACTTCTCGAAGTAAGTAGTTACTTCAGGAAGTAACTCCTTCAGATAGACACCTGGGACGGGATGCTGAGTGAGGACCTGTGTAAGTGCGTGGTGTACAAGTGTCGTGTCTACTAGCTCCGAGTAGAGGGGGCGTTCTGAAGTTGCTTCTTTAGCATGCGGTGGACTGTCGGCTGCGAGGACGGTCGCATTTGCGCGAGGCGAGGCGAGCATTCAGACGCGTTGCATGCGCCATGACTCGCGCCAGCGGCAGCGCGTGCGGAAGCTCCTGGCTGAGCGTTGAGTCCAGGCGAGTTGTGCTGGCCACGATCGCTACGCCAAGCCGAGCTGACGCGCCGAGAGGCGCCGGCCAGTCGCAGCCGTGAGGCATGCCACAGCAGCAGAGGCACCTGCCACCCATTGGGCGGGCAGACAGAAGGCCAGGGCAGCACTGGCAAGTGCAACGCGCCTCATGTCGGAGAGCGACCGTGCCTCGTTCGCCGCTTTGGGATGTAGAGTTTGTTGTAGAGATTTCACGTTGTAGAGCGCCTCTACATCGCTCTATACAACGCACGCGCCTCGTCACGCGGCGGATGTAGAGCTCTACAGCTCTACAGCGCTCTCCAGCTCTACAGCTCTACAGCTCTACAGCGCTCTACACTCTACATCCTCTACACCCTCCCTCAGTCTGTCTGACCGTGGAGTACTCGAGTATCGCATGGGTGGGTTTCTTCTCTCGCCTTGTCGAGCCTCTGACGCTACTCTGAGCTGTGTGTGAGTGACGATGTGAGGTATGTGAGCCCAGGGTTACTGGGTTACACAATAATTCTGTCTCCGGCGTGTACACGTAACACGAATGAAAAATTCTAGATAGATCTTTTAGCAAAATTCTCAACAACAAAATTCTCCCGCTCCCGCGCGCGCGCGACGAAGAACAAGAAGGCTACGGTACCGGCCCCAGCTTCGGCTGAGGGCTGACAAGCTGCCGAGCCCAAATCACTGTGAGATTCTTGTTGGTTTTCTAAAGCTCTCTCTCGAAAACCAGCCCGAACACGAAAAAGAAATCTGGCGTCCTGGCAATTGGAGCTCCAAGCCTGCCGCTTCGATGGCCAGCCCAGAGGAGCCCGCCGTCGCCGTCGAGGAGGTCCAGGACTCTGCAGAGACCGTGATCGCCACCGTCGTTGCAATCGTGGCTGGCCTCATCGTCATCGTGATCGCCCTCGGCTTCCGGCGGAAGCGCGAGGCCGAGCGCGTTGTGGCCCGGGAGAAGGCGGCGGCTGCCAAGCGCAAGGCGCCTCCTCCCGGTGCGGTGGCCCGCGCCGACCTCTCTGCGGTGGAGAAGCTGGCGCGCACCGCCGGCGCCGACCCGGACGCCTTCCTCGCCGGCCTCGCCACCACCGAGGTTCTCGGCCGGCTCGCGTCGCCTCTCTCGCCGGCCGCCGCCGCGGCGGTGCGAAAGGCGCTGGCCGGCAAGGCGGAGCTACCGCCAGAGGGCGACGGCGCGGCGGCGGTCGCCGCCGCCCTGGTCCACACCCACCTCCGCCGCGGGGAGCTTCCCGCGCGGCTCTGGCCAAAGCGCGACGCGGATGAGGCCGAGGCTGCAGTTGAGGCGGTGGCGGAGGCGGCCGTCAAGCTGACGCGGCACGGGTTCGAGGCGGCGTGCAAGGGCGGGTCGCCGGAGGCCGCGCGCTGCCTCCTCCAGCTGCTCGCCTGCCTCCGCCTCCAGCGGCCCGCTTGGGACCACGAGCCGTCGCGCCGCGCCTCAGAGGAGGCGCTCGCGGACGCAGGCCGCGCCGCCCCGACGGCGCAGGCCTGCCGCGGCCGCGCCTCTTGACACGCGTCTCTGTGAGCAGGCCTCCCCCTACCGCGCCTCGCGGCGAGCGCCTCGGCGGCGTCGTGGATGGGCGGCGCGGGCGGCGCGGTGAGCGCTGGCTCGGTCGCTATGCTCAAGGTCCGCCTCTCGCGGGCCCACGCAAAGGAGGCTGCCGCCGCCGCAAAGGTGCGCCGCTCACCCCTCTCCACACCACCCCTCCCCCACACCACCCCTCCCCCACACCGTCCCCGCCGCACCCCTCCGCACCGCACCGACCCTCCTGCCCACGGCATCCCCGCCCCCTCCCCCCCCCCCGCGCAGCGCGGCGCGACCTCCTTCGCCGGCAAGTGGAGCACCGCCAACGGACGTGCGCCCGTGCGCGTGTGCGAGAGCTACACGTGCCTCGTCTCGCGCCGCGGCGGGCCCGCCGGCGGCGCGGAGGCGAGCGGCCGAGAGAGAGGCTTAGACGACGCGTGACACGATTGCGGCGTCGGTTCGCGCCCCTCCGGTGACGGTGACGGTGACGGCCTCCTCCCCGCCTGGGCGCCAGGCGATGGTTGGCTTTCTCGAGGCGGACGTCCTCGACCCGGCGGCGCCGACGGCGGAGGCGGAGCTCAAGATCGTCGCGCCGCTCGAGGCGGGCGAGTATGAGCTGCGCGTGCAGGCGCTCTCGCTCGCGGTGCTCGGCGTCGAGGCCTCCGCCTCCGCCTCGCTCGTCGTCACCCCCGCGCCGATCGACGACGCCGACGACCTGGACGACTATTGAAGCACTGGCGGTGACGCCTCGCGCCGAGGAGAATAAATAAATAAATAAACCGCACATCCCAAGCTAGGGCTGGGTCGGCACGGATTGGAGATCCCTCACACCAAGATCGTGCAGGGCGGGGACACATGTCCCTAAATCCCATCTCGTTTCAGAGTTGACCGTTTTATTTATTTATTTAGGGCTGGGGGGTCGAGGTACGAGGACAGCCCCCACACCTTTGCAGGATTTTGCAAAATCGAGGGGGGGGGGGGGGGGGGCGCATCGCCGCGCGGAGAGGGCTGGGCACAGGGCACAGGGGATCTCTCTCGCAGAGAGAGGTGCTCGCAAGAATTCTTTTCCCAACCAGTCGGAAATCTGTGCTCCTGCATGTTCAGCCGAGTACGCAGCCCCACCCGGAGGGCGGGCGACAAAGCTTCGCCGCGCGGCACGGTCGCCACCACCACGGCTGTCAGCGTGGAGGACGCCTTTGTGATCGGCGCGCTCCACCGCGGTCAGATTGGTCCGACGTACAAGACAGCTGGCCGAAAAATACCCGCCGGTCTGCGGCACGCCCATCCCGCGCGCGGCCGCACCGACGCTGCTCTCTGGCTCGCTGCGCGCCGCCCGGCGCGGCCCGCCCTCGCGTGACACCTTCACCCACCACGGCCGGCAGGCTCAACGTGCGAGATGTCCTTCGAGTTGGATTGCGCGTCGGTGATGGCGTGGAGCTGGGAGGAGCGGAGCGGCGGCGACGTCGTCTTCAAGGCGGTCCTCCCCGGCCTCGACCGTGACTTTGAGGAGGAGCTGTCGCGCGCCGCTGGGTGAGAGAGACACACTTCCGGGACACCTCCCCTCGCGCCGACACGGCGTCACTCTGCCCCTGCGGCTTTGGCGCCTAGGCCGGGCGTGGCGGCCGAGGGGGCGGTGCTGAGCGCGCACACGAGCGGCGTGCTGCGCGTGCCTGCCGGCTCCGTGATGCTGACCTGGTCCAACGTCAGCGGCTGGTCGGAGCGGACAGTCAGCTACCGCGTCATGAGCTGCAGCCGGGACGCCCTCGAGATGGAGCGGGAGCGGATGGCGGCGGAGGCGGCGAGGGCGGCGAGGGCGGCGGAGGAGGAGGCGGCCCTCGCGCGCAAGCAGCTGCTCCTCTCAAAGGCCGAGATGCAGCCGAGATGCAGCCGAGATGCAGCCGAGATGCAGCCGAGATGCAGCCGAGATGCAGCCGAGATGCAGCCGAGATGCAGCCGAGATAGCCGCAAGCCGCAGGTCCTCTCAACGGCGAGCGCGAGCACGTTGGCGCGTGCCTCAGGCGTGCCTGTGACGCGTCCGCGACACGCCCTCCTCTCACTGCAGGCGAGCAGTGTCGCGAGCAGCTTTGCGGCGCTGCTGCAGGAGCGGGCTGCTGTCGAGCAGGCAGACGCCGAGATCTGGGGGGATCTGGGGGGGGATCTGGGGGGATCTGGGGAGATATTGAGGGCTGCTGTCGAGCAGGCGCAGAAGACACGCGAGCATCACGCACGCACGCACGCACGCACGCACGCACGCACGCACGCACGCACGCACGCACGCACGCACGCACGCACGCACGCACGCACGCACACAACTAGGCCAGCCTCGCTCCTTTCGCCCGCACCCCACCGCCCCCTGCCTGGCCGCCCCACCGCCTCGCCGCCCCACCGCCCAACCGCTCGCCGCGTCACCGCCTGACCGGGTACCGCTGGCGGCGGCGCAGGCGGAGGCGCAGGAGGCACTGGCCGCGTGCGATCGCGCAGAGGCGGAGGCGGAGGCAGCGGCCGCGGCGGCAGCGGCGGCAACGGATGAGGAGAGGTGCGGCTCCGGCTCCCGCCGACGTCCCCATTGCCTCGCTCCCCTCGCCCCGCCCTCTTCTCCGCTGCCGCGCCCCCTCCCAGCACGAGCCCCCCCTCCCGCCGCTTGCTCCTCCTCAGGGAGGACCTCGAGGCGGCCGCAGCAGCAGCAGCAAGGCACCTCCCCCCCCCCCTCCCTCCCCACCCTTTCGCCAGCCGCGCCCACTCCCGGAGTGCGGTGGCGACGCCCCTCCCTCCCCGGCAGGCGATCCGAGGAGGCCCGGCGCGTGGCGCGAAAGGAGGTCGCAGAGGCGGTCGCGGCGGACAAGGCGGCGATAGCCGCGGGGGCGGCCACGACGGGGCAGCGGAGCAAATAGCGAGAGGGGCCAGTTTCCCCCTTCCATGTGAGAGCACCGTCGTTGTCGATACCCCGCGCCACGTTGCCACCGCATCGCTGGATGGGAGGCCACTGCGTTCGTCTGGCCTGCATTTGAGCCGCGCCGTGCCGTGGCGTTGGCTATCGCGGGAGGGCCAAGACAGCTCGTGCGGTTTTGGGAACGTCTTGATTGTGCCCGAGTCGTGTATGCCATTGGAGAGCGCGACGCGCCGAGGGCGCGATGATATTTACTAAGACCCATAAAGTCGTGGGGCACATTTTGGTGAATTCTTTTCCACCTCCTCAAGCCCCAACTCTGCCGAACGCGACACGGCGACGCCGAACTCTGGGCCTATTTCATCGCGAGACATGCCGGGAGTCTGCTTTCCCGCCGATACCGAGGGCGTGCGCTCCACGTCTGCCTTTGGAAAGGAGGTCTTCAGTGCCGTCGCTGCTGCTCTGGGCGACGAGCCGCTCGCACAGGCCATCGTGAGCGAGAAGGACTGGCGCCACACGTACAACGCGCACATGCTCAAGGTATTCGAGGCGCAGCTTCGGGCGGATCCGGCAGTGGCTTTGGCCTCGCTAAAGAAAGGTCTGGAGAAGGCGACGGCCATGGACTTTGAGCCCAAGGACGGCACGCCTGCTGTGCCTCTTGCTGTGGCTGGGTCCATTGACGTCAAGCCTTTCGGAACTTGGGCAATCCACGGCACTGGCAACGCACTGAAGACGATCTCCGTGCCGTACAACGGCAGCGTCCTTTCAGGCGCGTCGCTCAGCTTCCAGCTCGACAAGTGGGCGCGTCGAGGCACGATGGAGGCGGACTGTGCCGAAGCCATCAAGGAGGGCGTCCGGCTCGACACGTTCAAGGGGCGCACCTTCATTCTGATCGGAGCGGGCTCGGAGCTCGGTCCGCTGCGCCCGCTGCTGCTCGCCGGCGCGACCGTCGCTGCCGTCGCCACGCGCAAGCCGCAGCGGTGGGCGGAGCTCATCGAGTTCGCGCAGACGACTGCGGGCACGCTGCTGCTGCCGGTGCCTTCGGGGGTGGCGAGTGACTGTCCGGACGTGGCGGCGGTGGCGGCGGTGGCCGGCGCCGACATTTTGGCGGAGACGCCTGCGCTTGCCGCTTGGGTGGCGGGTGTGGTGCGCTCGTCCGCCGGGCCGGTGACGCTCGGCACATACCTGTACGCCGACGGCGAGGCGAACGTGCGTATCACCGCGGCGGCCGACGTCCTGACGCAGGCGGCGATGCGCGCGGCCGCCGCCTCGCGCCGCGAGCTCAGCCTGGCTTACCTGCCCTCGCAAACGGTGGCACACGTCATCCCCGCAGCCGCGGCGGAGGCGCAGCGGGCCAACGCGGCGAAGGCGCCCTGGTGGCAGTCGATGATGCGCTATCGTCTCGCCATACGCCCGCCGCTCAGCGGCGCGGCGGGCAGCGCGGCCGCGGAGCCGACGTACGTGCACGACGCCTACTCGATGACGCAGGGGCCAAATTACGCGCTCGCGCAGCACATGCGCCAGTGGCGTGCGATGCTCGCGTACACTGAGGGCTACGCCGTCTCCGCGCCGATGGCGCCGGCCGCACGGACCGCGTCCATGCTGCATGTGCACACCGTCGCGACGGCGCTCGACGGGTTCGGGTATTTCCGACCCCTCGAGGCCTTCGAGCCAGACTGTCTGCGCGCGTGCCTGGCAGACTCCACCTCGGGCAGGAGCTGTGCTCGGACGAGCTCCCGCTCACAGATGCCTGCCGCGACAATAGGCGGCGCTACTCGCCGTGGAGCTCTCGACGCCGATGCCGGCGCTGCCCTCGCCCTTCCACCTCTTCACTCG